GCGCTTCCCTCTCTCCTGCCCCGGGCAGCTCCCATTATGGCAGGGACACAAATCCTCCTCTGCCAGCAGCAGCTCCAAGCCACATCAGGGAGCTCCTGGTTCTCCTCCTGCTGCCACAGAAACTGCACAGCCCCACTGCACTCCCTGCCTTCCCTGAGTGCCCAAGGGCTCTCTGGGTGCCAGAGATACAGGGCAGAAGGCTTCCCAGCCTTTTCCCACCAGCTGAATGGGATAAACAGCTGAATTCCTGTCCCTTCCTGCAGTGCCTTCCTGTCCCTGCTGGGTCTCCAACAGGGTGGGTGCATCGTTCAACCCTCCTGTGTCTGCCAACGCTCCCAGGACCTGCCTGATCCGGGGGAAATGTCAGGCAGGGCTCTGGGAGAGGGATTGGGGTGGGAGGGCAAAGGCTCATCCAGTACACGAGTGTAATTAAGAGGTCCCATTGAATGTCCCTTGCTGGTCACTGTCTGACCTGCACCAGCCCTGTGTGGGGACAAGGTCATGCAAGGTGCTGGAAGAGCTCTCTGCTGCCTCTGGTAGTACCTGGGAGAGCCCTGGAAGGGCTCACTGCCCTGCACTTGCACCCTCTGGCAGGTTAGTGACCAGGAGGGTCTGAGCCTGACCTACGGCTCTGCTCCCTCACCAAGGGAACATCGAGTGCTGGGATCCAGAGCCAGGAAGCTGCTGCACAAACCCCAGCCTCTTCTCACCCTCGGGTCATTAGATCCAAACCTGATGCTGGAGACAGAGAACCGGGGGGTCTCTGCAGCAGCCATGCCATGGCCAAATCTATGGGTGAGCCAGAGAAACATCCTCTCCTTTGTGTTCACTATCTCCCAAGGCCACGGTGTTTGTCTTTATTGCCGGGACCACTGTGGATGGCCTTGTCCCATCCATCATCTCCTCCTGCCCCTCAGCCACAGCCTTCCCTGTACAGGGTGACCCGGAGCTTCCTGAGGTCACAGCCCGGCTGTGCTGCCCTGTCCCCTTCCCCCTCACAGGCACAGCAGCCCACGGAGGAGATCCTGGAGCCCAGGGCAGGCCCGGTGCTAAATCGGGTATGGCCCCTCGCTGCTGTTGGCTGATAAGGGCCGTGCAGAGGAGCCCTTGGGGTGATAACAGAGCCCTGTGACCTCCCGTGCTCCGGAGCACTTGCTGAGCGGTGGCAGGCTCTGAGTCCCGCCTGGCTGCAGGTCAGGGGCTGCCAGAGGAGCCTGTGCCAGCTCCCGGGATGTTCCCGCAGGAGGAGCTGCCAGGGCTGCTGTGCTCTCCCTGCTGCCCAGCCTGGCAAGGAGAGGCTGACCCGGGCGAGCCCGGCTGCCCCGTGTGCTGTTCTAAACCTCCTCGGGGCTCTGGGCAGGGCGGGAGCCGCTGCTGCTGCTGCTGCTGGCCCCGTGCCCTGTGCCCCATCCTTCCTGTGCTCTCCCGGCCCTCGCTGCTGTCATTTCCTTCTCTCGGCCCTGCTTACGTGTCCCCCCGAGGCTCTGCCCGCCCCCCCCATCCGTGCTGGGATCTGAGGGCAAGGCTGATCCCGTGCATGGACTCTCAAAGCCCTCCTTTTATTTATTTATTTTTTTCCTAGGGGTTTCTAAACCTAAACTTCCCAAGGCATTGTGTCCTTGAACCTGCCCCGTGCTGTCCATGAGTCACATCCCTTCAACCATTGTTCACTTCGAGCCTGAGCCCTCCTGATGCTGGGAGCTTCCTCTCCTGCCCCTGCCCAAGGCAGAGGGCCCTTGGCATGCCTGGCCCGGGACACTGGGGGGCTCTGAAGTCAGCAGTCCCCTTTCTGTCCAGCTGCCCCAGCAGCCCCGTCTGCCTCCTCTGGCTCCAAGGAAAGGCAGGGCTGAGCTGGTTCTGGGCTGGGCTATCAGCAGGGCCGTCTCCTCACTCAGATATCCTGCATCCCTGGGAGATGGGAGATCCCCCTGCTCCAGGGGAGCATTTTTCACTGTGCTGGTTGTCCCTGCCTGGAGAGCAGCTTGTCAGGGTGATGGAGTGGGCCAGGCATGGCCCTGGAGCCTGGAGTGCCCTGCCCATGGGAAAGCTGCTCCACCAAATCTCAGGTGTGGAGAGAGAGGGCTGGGACAGCCTCCCTATGGTCACATCCAGGGCAGCACTGGGGATGTGCTGAGCTGCCATCCTCCAAAGAAACTTGCTGTTTTCCACACAGGAGAAGCTAAAAGCAGCTCAGCTGGCCACATCCATGCTGCAGGTTCATGGCAGAGTGAGAAGCTGCCAAGCTGGCAGGGTTCTGCTCTAGCTGCTCAGGCCATTCCCCTCCAGGCACTCCCTTTCCACATTTCTCTGGGCTGTATTTTGTGCTGTCAGTCTGCTCTTGCTGCATCTTCAGGTCACCAAAGCAGTTCCCCCTCTGCATCAGGCTTGAGAGGAGCAAACTGTGCCTGCCCTGAAGAACTCATCATGCAAACAGAGAGCCAGATGCAGGGAGGAAGGGAGCAGTGCAGCAGGGAGATGATCTGCACAGGGGATCAGTCTCTCCTGGCAGAACAGGAGGTCAAAAGCAGGAGGGCTGAGCTGGGGTAGCCCTGTGGGGGTGGGAGGCAGAGGAAGAGGCTGGTGAGACCGTCCCAGGGCTCAGTGTCCCTGTGAGCTGAAGGCAGGGGCCATCCCCAGGGTACCCAGCTCAGCCCCAGCCCAGGACACAGCCCCCCAGCCCTCCCAGGCAGGTGCAGACCCCGAGGAGCCCCTTACCTTTGTAGGCCAGGCGGAGGCGGGGGGCGTGCTGCTTCCATGCCCTGCTGCTGCCCAGCTGCTGCAGGAGGAGGCAGAGCAGGAGTGTGGCCAGGGACAGCCAGTGGCCAGGGGCAGCCCTCATGCTGGCACAGGGCACTGGGCAGGGTCTGCCCGCCCTCACAGAACCATGCTCCAGCGCCGAGATGCCACCTCCGATGCCAGCTGCAAGCAGAGAAGGAAGAGGCTGCAGCTGTGGGCACGGGGGCAGTGTGGGCACTGGGAAGGCAGCTGTGGCTGGCACCCTCTCACCTTCCACCCCCTGGGGGCTCCAGCACATCCATTCCATGCCCAGGGAGTTCACAGGGCAGCTGTTCCAGCCTGCCCAGGGGAGGTGTGCGGGGTGGTGCCAGTGTGCCCACATTGTGTGGAACCTGGGAGAGCCTCCAACCTTCCAATGGGCTCTCAGAGCTTGGGCATCCTGTGCTCAGGCTCCAGTGCTTGGCAGAGCCTGCTGTAGGATCCCTAATACTCATCTGTTCTCAGTTTGTGGTTAAATCTCATCCTTTTCACTGAAAGGGAAATTTGTGTTTTGGAGCACCACTCATAAATGCCGTTTCTGTGATCTCCCCAATATCATCTGTGGCTCTGTGTGTGCATGACACATCTCTGGCCAGGATCTCTGACATTCCTCGTCACCACAGAGCTCTCTGAGGCCACCAGCATCCGCTGGCTCCAGGGTGCTGAGGGTTGGTAACACATATCCCCATTTGGAAGGCAAAGGGGTTCACATCCTTTAACTCCCCCTCTTTAATACCCCCTTTGGAGGGTGCAGGGGTTCACAGCCTCCCACAGCAGCTCCCACAGCCCCTGCCAGGAGCAGGGCTGGCCTGCCAGCTCTAACCACTTAATCCAGGCTACTTAGAGGCTTTTTCTCCACTTAATAAAAACCTGGTCCCTGCATGGCAGCTCTGACTAGCTTCCCCTCTTGCTGCATATTAACTTCTTCCAGTCCCATGACTGAAAGATTTAAAATGGGCTTTTTGGCTCATCCCTGGCCAGAGGCTCTTGGCACAGGGAGCAGGGGATTCCTGCCATCCCAGCAATGGGATGTGGAAGGGATGGTGGAGCCAAGTCTTTCCACTGCCTTGCACAAGGAGGAGTGCTCAGCTCTGCCTAGGGAGGAGGTTTGGGCTTTCTCTCCCACCCAGCAGCAAACTGTGGTTGGGCTGGATGCAGCTCCTTTCTTGCCCCTTCCCTGCCTTCACTATTGCCTGGATCTCACTCTGGTCAGCACAACCTGCTGCTGCTCCAGGTCCTTCCCCTGTACAGGACACCTGGCACCACAATGGGACATGGATGTGACCTTGGGTGGTGGCTGTGCTGTGCTCTGTCTCTCTTTAGTTTGGGACAGCTCTGTCCAGCCAGCCAGCCCTTCCTGGGCACTTTTCCACATCAACCATTGCCTAGGGAGGGGACAAAAGCACCCCATGAGCATGATGGGTTTGGCCAGGCACAAACTGCTCCTGGGTTGTGGAGAGGTGGGGAAGGAACCCCTGAGCCCCATGGGGATTCACAGGCAGTCTGCCCTTGCTGCCACAAACACTCCCCAGCAGGCAGCAGTGACAAGCTGCATCTCAGCCCTTCCCTTGCCCAGCACCTGCAGTGCCCCCCAGAGCCACCCTGGGCACTCCCAGCTGCCCCAGGGTCACCACCAGGACGGGGCTGCCATCTCACAGGGATTTTTTTTTTTCCTTTGCCAAAGTGTGTTGTGTTGCTGCAGGACTTGGGAAAATGCTGTCCTCTAATTGAAGTGTTCTATAAATGGAGCTGGGTCTGTGCTAGGCCTGACTTTGGGCTAAGGCAGACTTGGAGGAACATTTCATGAGCCAGGGGATGCCAGGGCAGGCTGGGATTCTGCGGATGGCAGGCAGGGCACTGCTCCTGCCTCAGGACACCTCCACACACGGTGAATTTAGGGCCAGGCATGCACTCCCCTGTGAGGCTCAGCTATACCAGAGCTCCATCTCCTGCCCTGGGAGTGCCAGAAGCAGGGCTGATGGCAGCAGGAGCCACAGCCATGCCCAGGAGGGTCCCAGAGCCCTGGCAGAGCTGGGCACAGGCATAGGGGAGCGAGGGGTTTGCAGCAGATAAGGAAATTTAAAAACTGCCAGAGAATAATCTCCAGTAAGAAACACTTCCCATGGGTGTCATCCCTCCATGGGCATTTAGGGGCTCCCTCCCATCGTGCCCAGGCAGTGGTGAGGCACATCCACCCCCTGATACCCATCTCAAATGCTGGCACAGCCCCCTTGTCCCCTGGCACAAGGACATCCCTGGCAGTGCCAGGCAGTGCAGGGACACCGGGAAACAGATCAGCTGGAGGGGAAGGGCTCACAGAGTTTACACAGAGAGGGGGAGCGCGGGTGCCTGGAGGATGGAAACAAGCTGGGAATGATGAATCCAGGGTTAAATTAAACACTCCCGACAGCTTTAAATAATCAACTGTCCAGAGCTGCAACTCTTTCCATCTCAGTTTGGAGAGGGAAGTGCTGGTGAGGGTGGGCTGCTGGAGAAGGGGAGGCAGGGGCTGACATTTCTTACTCCAGGCACCACAGGACTCACAGGGGAGGACTCGGGGGATGGCAGAGCCTTGCTGGGGGGCTGGCAGTGACCAGGAGTGCCAGGCACGGGTGGCACAGGTGGTCACACCACGGTGCTGGGCTGAGTCTGCCAGCAGCCCACCACGTGCCCTGGTCCCAGCAGCTTCCCTGTGCCCTCCCTTCCTCCCCTTCTACTGGAGATCTGCAGAAGGGACAGAATCACAGAATGGTTTGTGTTGGAAGGGACCTTCAAGATCATCTTGTTCCCGATGGTCACAGGCAGGGATGCCACCCGCTGGGTCAGGCTGCTCTGAGCCCACCCAGCCTGGCTGTGAACACTTCCAGGAATGGGGCATCCACTCCTTCTCTGGGCAGCCCGTGCCAGGGCCTCACCACCTTCACTGTAAAGAATTTTTCTTGACATCTAGTCTAAATCTCTCCTCTTTTAGTTGGAAACCATTTCCCCCTTAGCCCTATCTGGCTGTGTAGAAAGTCACTCCCTCATTTTTATGATCTCCCTTTAATTACTAGAAGGCTGCACTGAGTTCTGCACGGAACAGAAGTCCAGCAGGTCCGAGGTTCTGGGTTGTCACACAAAATCCCCTGGAAAGCCTTGCCAGAGCGTGAGCGGCCCGGAGAAAAGACAAATCCCCTCTGTTTGAGACGGGTACAGGAGGGAATCGTTTATCCGCGGCAGCACCAATTTCCTCCTTACAGCCCCTTTGTGTTGCAATGCGTGAATAGTTTAAAGCAGCCCAAATTTCGGCGGGGGAAGGGCGCTGGCAGCGGGTTTATCAGGCTGTAGATTATTTCTGGGAGGGAGACGCCGAGCCGAGCTCCCGCAGCAGCGACAGCGGCGCTGCCATGTGCTCGCTGGTGTCACAGCCCCGATTGTGTCCCGATAATCCCCGGCGCGCTCACAGCCTGCTCGCTGCCTTCTCCGCTTACACGGCAGGGCCAGGGGGCGAAATGCCGCTCCCAACAGCTGGGGAACCTCGGGGGAAAGGAACGGAGGGAGGAGAGGCACTGCATCCCGGTCAGCATCCATCCACAGGGATCGTCCCCACCAGGGGACAGAAGCGCCCTGAGAGCGGGGAGCCTCAGGGGGCGCAGACCCCCTCCGTGGGGCTGGTGCTTCCCAAGGATCCCAAGCACCAAGCCCTGGCTCCCACGCTCCTGAGGCTGTCCTGCCTCTCCCAGCACAAGCCCTGGTGAGGGTGATTCCCTCTCTGCCACTTTTGGGAGCCGGGACCAAGGAGTCACACCCTGGCAAGGGAACGGAGGGCAGGAGGTGCAGAGGACTCAGCGGGGTGCCCGTCCCGCACACAGCTGGGCTCAGCCGGGTGCCCGTCCCGCACACAGCCGGGCTCAGCCGGGTGGTGCCCGCGCTCCTGCCCTGGCAATGCCGGGCCGGGTGTGAAGGGAGCGGGCACAGCCCGAGCTGCGGGCCCCGAGCCTTGGTGAGCCCCTGCCTGCAGCTGTCCCTGAGCCACCGCAGGAACGGAGCCCTCCCTGCTCAGCCCGGGCCGTGCCTGTCCCTCCCCATCCCCTGCGGGATGATGGATGCCCCGGCAGCTGCAGCGAGAGGCAGCTGTCCATTTCTCCGGTGGAAGGACAAGGACACATGGCGAGCCCTGCCTGCCTTCCCCGAGCTGCCAGGCTGGGACAGAGCCAATCCCGGAGGGAGCCCGTGCTGCTGAGTGATTTGTGGGAGCAGGACGTGACGGTCCCGCTCCGTGACATCAAAGCTGGGACCACAAACCAAGTGCCAGAGCTTGGGTGGCACTGGGACAGCGCGGCGTGCCCTGGGAAGCATTGGAGTCCCAGTGAAACCTTCAGCAGCGAGGTCACACACAGATCTGCAGAGACGAAGGGAGGAGAATTTTGGAGGGGTTGGATAAGGGGCTCCTGGGCAGCAGCAGGAGGCTGAGGCTGCTCCAGGCTCAGCCCCGTCTCTGCCATCACAGCCAGGGGCCAGCAGCACATCCCATCCAGCCGGGACATCCCCCCACTGCTGCCTCCTCAGATTGAAGTCCCCTTAGCCCCAGAGCTCCCTCCCTTGCCAGACAGCCCTGCTGGAGTGTGCCAAGCACCACGGGTGGGGAGGAAGATCCCCAGCTGCCACTGGCACCGTGCAGACCCTCGGGATGCCAGCCCTGCCATCCAGGGGGGCTCCCTGCCCACGGGCACTGGGTGACAGTGGCAGAGGGGCAGGGACAGCCCGGGGCTCTGGGTGTTATCAGAGGGACCTGGCTGCCTGTGGTGACGCCCAGAGCAAGAGCACAGCACAGTGCTTGTCTCCCTGAGGTTACAGCAGCTGCAGGCACGCTCCAGTTGGGACCACATCCTCTGAAAGCAAGTGGGGAATTGCCAAGCCTGAGGCTGGCCAGGGTATTAATAACTGTTTATGAAGGGATAAAGAGCTGGCTTCCCTTAACATCCTGCTAATCCCTTTCTTGAGAGGCTGCTGGCTCAGTCCCCACCTTTCCCTTGCTGCTGAGAGGTGAAGCCTGACCTGGGCTGGCTCTTGGGCATCTGGCTGGGAAGGTGGCCCAGCAGTGGGCTGGTCTCAGGGCACAGTGACAGGCACAGTGAAGGGCTGGACCAGCCCCTGCTCCCA